TAATAGGAAGCCCTTTAGTGCAGACAGCCCTGCTAAACACCCGTGAATGGGACGCAGTCGTCAATCTGGCAAAGAAAGTTCATCCAATGCATCTGGGACCCATTTGGTCAGAAAAGCGCTAATAATAGCGAATTTGTTCGATAATATCGTCACCGTCATACAAGAAATGGCTAAACCCAGAGAGGTCCATTTTTCAGGAGACACTATAAATAGTTTAAAATAAGCCATACTTTTACATTATTCATTTAGCACGGGAAAAGCACGGGCGCGGCTGTACTTCCGGCAAACAACACAGAACATCCGTGGGGTTGCCAGGGGAGATGGATAATTATTGATTTGATGGTGACGGTGCAAGGCGTTCATTAAAATTATTGAATTTTGCATCGATCGTATTCTTCCTTAAATTAACCCTAACAATATTTTATTGGGTTGTTCTCTTTGTTTACTCGCTGCCTCATTCCTTGTTATTTCTTACATTATCAACATAGTTTCCATTTGAATTACTACTTGAATTTCGCGTTTTATCAATTAGCATTGCTCGATTGCTGTTGACGGCTCTTTGAAAATTTATTTATGTTAGGTTCATACCACAACGTGTAAAAATTATTCGAAGCTACTTATGTTTAACACTCAGATTACTCAGATCAGGTATACCTACTAATAAGTTTCCAGTACTAATTATAACACCCTATTAACAAGAACATTGTTTTGCATTAAAAACATACGAGAACCGCATAAAAATAAAATAAATGAAGCACGTGCAATTAACATCTCTTGTACTCAGCTAGCTGAATTGACTTAGCACTTACAGGAATTCGAAATCCCGATTTTTCGCACGGAGATTAAACTGAAACTAGTCAGAAAAAGCTTCAATATTTGCACAATTTGAACAAACGGTCCTAAATCTGACAATTTGTGAATGTCGCTTTAAATACCAGTGTTGCGAAAAAGACCCAGTGGTTATGACACAGTCTTGCTTATACAAACTTAGACCAAAACGACCGTAGAACAATTGAAAGTGATTGATTCATTCGATCCGATTACACCCCAGGAGAAGAAAAGGCGTTTGAGTGATAAGAGAATTCGCTTTGGCAAGCTTGATGTGCTAATTCCTGGAGCGAGATGTTTGGGCATTTTTTCGCCGATTAATATTCGAATCAGGTATAAGCGCGATAATAAATTCCGTAAACCAGTCTCGTTCGCGCAGCCCCTAACCCATTTAACAGTTGCCGGGAAGTGTCAAACCTCAAAGCACATCAGCCTTAAAGCAAGTCAATATATCTCTTCTTCAAGACACAAACAGGAGCCGGTAACGAAATAATAGTATACCTGAGGGTAATGATTAAATCCTGTCGAGAAGACGAAAAAAGCAATCCCAAACGTGACTTGAACGCCGGCAACTTCCCCATATATTGATGCGATATTTTCATGTGACAACAGGGAACGTGATTCAGCGCTATTCCATCGTTTACCTCGTCATTTCTGATGTTTTCAGTTAGCGAAGAACAAAGCGCAGCTTTAACCTGAGAAGTTGAGTAGAACGTTTTGCAAGCACGTCCGAGTTTCATCTTCAGAGTTATTCTTCCGCGAGGCGGACAAGTGCACGTTTTTTTCCTAAAAATCCAATTTTTCACTCTTGAAATATGACTATTCAAACATTAGATACATATTTAGTCCAAAAAAATATCGGTTATGAATATGAATAATAATCAAGCGCGTCTTTCTTGGAATCTAATGCGTTGTTTAATCGATTCGGGCTTATTATTCAAGCTAACACATTTAGTCAGTGCACGTGGTGTTACACTCAGTTTGCGTTATTTTGATTTTTTGGCAACTTTAAACGTCAAATGTGCTTATAACATTAGTGTTTTACATTTAAACACGACTAAATTCTCTTCAAAAAGTAGGAAGACACAAGAAAAAAATTCATGTTCTCCATATTAACCCAATAAAAATGTTCCTAAGAAGGAAATTTACTTTCAATACAGAAAGTCCTTGCTAATTATAGAAACTACGATACTTTTTGTATAAACAATGATTGTTTAACTAGGCCGCGGTTTTCTTTTTTTTATTATGTTAATAAAATTCTTGACTCTCTACCACTTTTGGTCATGGCTCCCAAAAAATGCTTTACTTCCGCTGATGATGAACAATTTTTAACCATCTTCAACTATTCAATGTTGAAAGTGGCAAAGATGAAAAATCAATTGACTGAAATTGGTAAGCAAATAACTTTCTGGAGAACGCAGGAAGGCACATGAAAGAAAGTTATATGTTTCCACGATTGTGCAAGGTGCTCAACATTCAACCTATAAAAACGTGCTTAAGAAGTGCAGCGGACCGAACTTCCACACTTTAATGACTGAATTGAAGAATTTATCTTAAAAAAGACATGGGAATTGACTCTGAATATAAAAAATTTAATTCAACTTTTAACGATCTTCAACGATTCAATGCTGTTAGAAATCAATCTAAAACCCCTTGAATATGTTACGTGAAAGTGGCAAAGATGAAAAATCCATTGACCAAAATTGGTAAGCATTTACATTGATGTAAGTAGATGCTATCTCAAAGGCGTTCCATGCTTGGCGAATAAAATACAGGAATAGTAAAGACAATTTATCAAACCCGATGGGGATAGGTCGACGTTGGAGAGTATGGAGCATTTGACCTGAACCGAAAACTTTTATGTTTACCCAATGAAGCTGTTTGTTATTGGAAATAAGCCCGAAATCGCTCCGACTGAGCTGAATACGTGTATCAATTACTCTTCGTAGTCGAGATGGAGCCTCTCGGCATAAAGGTAAGCAATTTTTCAAATGCACGCCACCCTGTCGTAACCCTGCGAACATCAAACGGCGACATGTTGTATATTTAAGAGTATTGCAAAGATATTGAAATCCCCTCCGGAAAGCTCTTCTGCTCAGCCAGGTGGAGAAATAACGCGTTTAAAAATTTCCTCTCCCGCGCACACCAGTTTTTATTTCTTTGTTTGCTTTAGTGAGATGTTTCAATTTCAATTTAATAAAGTACCTTCAAATTTAATCAAGCTGATTCACCCCATTTTCAAGAAATGTGTCTTGGGCCCGCCCGTAATTCGAAATCGAATTCAAACTGTGCCCGTCACAGTATCAAATGCTCGAGTCGAGTAATAATTATTTATGCCATCTCGCTTACCATTAAACCCTTTCGTTTCGGCGAAATGAACCGATAAAAATGGAATTCATATTTTGCCGGAATAAATTAATTCAAGGAAATTTCCAAACAGAGGATAATTTGACTTTGCCATTTTCATTTAGCGCCCCAATCCATTGTTTGCGCGCGGAAAAACTTTCGCAAAACTCATCCAATGAAACGGGTGACACTGAATTTTATTCGACTGATTGGGAATCGAAAGAGTTTGCTGAATTGCTCATTTACCGGCTGATCATCATTGATTAATGGCCTTTTTTGCTTGGATAAGCGAATAATTGTATTTTCGATATCTTTGCATTCATTATGAATATTCCACGAGCTCTTTTCTGTTATTTGTAGCTTTACATTTATAATCATCTCTCAGTTGTCCTCGGATACAGTGAATAAAGATCATCGTCAATATTCTTCCTTATAATAAGAGATGACATTTAAACAAATTTATTTAGAGGATATTTAGACACGACCAGAACAGGAAAATTTTGAAGTTTCCTTCCCAATTTTCACTCAAGCATTTTCCGAAAGACAAATCTTCAGTCGCAACAAAGTTAATGAGGAAATTCGAGTAGTTTTGACCCAGAAAGCAAAAATTGAATATCAGACCCTTAGGTGCAAGATCATGCCAAAATTTCAAATTTTCCGTCCCGTTTTTGCTAATTTCTCGGAGGCAAAATGAGCAAGAACGCTTATTTGTACATCATTCTAGAGAGAAATAAATGGCCTTTTTAGCAAGTGAACCATCGATAAGGAAATTTTGGCAGTTTTCTCAAAAAATGCTTGAATTCAAGAAGTTTTAGATTTGCGTGGT